TGATTGATTGATTGATTTGTTCCTAGATTTTTATTTTAGACACAGCCAGGCAGCTAACCTATCACTGGTAATTTAAGTTACAGAATTTTATGTACTCCTATATTTGTTCCTGATTTTGGTATACATTAAAAAGATTTGATACAGTAAAAACCTAAAATGATTGTTTTAAATAAATGTTCCATTTGCTTACGTTGTTGTTTCATCTTTTCATCTTGTCAATTACATAACTGAAACAAAATGTATTACCATTTCAATAGAAAAACCGTTTCTGAATCGAAAATCGATTTTGAGTCAAATCGTGGTACTAAAAATCGGAATAGAATGGAATCACCAAACACAGAGAGATTCACTCTCCTACTCTGGCAGCAGTATTTTGGATCAGCTGAAGACTTTTAAAATAAATCTTTGGACACCCAGACAATAAGCAATTGCAACAGTCCAGCCTAAACGTGGTAAATGCATGGACCAGTTTTTCTGCATCATTTTGGGACAAGATGTTTCTAATTTGAATGATACTGTTCAGGTGGAAGAAAGAAGTCCTGTTTAAAAGACATATCCTGATCAAAAATAACTCCAAGGTTTCTTATGTTAGAACTTGAGGTTATATTATTGCCATCCAGGAAGACAGCTCTAAACTCCATATGCTTTGAATTACAGCTCATATTTTACACCCATAAAAACAATCTATAATCCTTATCAAACCTATTCAAAGAATGTCTACCACAAGCCTTATTGCTACAACTTCTCAAGCTATCATTATAACTATTGAGCAAATAATTAGTGGTCATTCTTTAAAGGATCCAAATCAACTTTATCATTATTTAGAAAAACAGGGTCCTTGAAAGCAGCTCTTTGACTCCACTGCATGTGCTTTAAATCATAGCGAGACACCCTGGAGAGAGAGAACTGACACAAGACAGACTCCTCTTCAACAGTTTTCCTCTTCTGAACCTCCCTCTGGAGGTTAGTGGTGCAGTCAAAATGTCACCAGGGAATGAGAGTTAACATAAAAATATATGATTTAGTTTTTAACCAAAGGCCTTGGCTAGAGAAGAACCAGATTGTGGTTGGGGTTAGAAAACCTCAATTCCTCATGGACAAGACCAAAGTCTAAGCTTTACACCACTACATATTGTGTGAAATGTTCCAAGACAACAATGATAGTTAATAATTTTCAATTTATTTACAAAATCTTAAAAAACAACAGACTGCAATAACACCACACCTGAACATTAATTATCTAAGCCGTCAGCATGCATGAACCAGGGATTTTGTTCATCCATCCATCCATCCATCATCATCCTCTTGTTCCGAAGTCGGGTCGTGGGGTCAGCATCTTGAACAGGGAGGTCCAGACATCTCTTTCCACTTTTAACTCTTCCAGCTCTTCTGGGAGGACTCCAAGGTGTTCCCAGACCAACCAAGTGACATAGTCTCTCTATCGTGTCTTGGGTCTTCCCTGGGGTCTCCTCCCAGTTGGACATGCCTGAAAAACCTCCGTAAGGAGCCCCCCATGGAGCATCCTTATCAAATGCTTGAACCACCTTAACTGGCTCCTCTCATTATGGAGGAGCAGCGGTTCTACTCCGAGTCTCTCCCAGATAACTGAAGTTCTCACCCTATCTCTAAGGGAGAGTCCAGCTACCCTGCAGAGGAAACTCATTTCAGCTGCCTGTATCTGCAATCTCATTTTTTCTGTCACTACGGGACGGCTATGGCTGAGTGGTTAGAGCAGTTGTCTTCCAATGCAAGAGTTGGGGGTTTGATTACACCAAGAGTCAGATGCCGAAGTGTCCCTGGGCAAGACACTGAACCCCTCACTGCCTCCGATGTGTGTCCCATCAGTGTATGAATGTGATAAAGCTCTGATTAGTCTTTAAATAGATATAGAAGAGTGATGTATGAATGGGTAAATGAGGGAACAGATTGTGTTGTAAAGAGCTTTGAGTATCTTCATTAGATAGAAAGGTGATATATAAATACGGTCCATTTACCATTTACTACCCAGAGTTCATGACCACAAGTGAAGGTAGGAACATAGACCAACTAGTAAACAAAGCTTTGTCTTACAGCTCAGCTCCCTCTTCACCACAACAAATCAGCACAAAATCTGCAATCCTGCAGACATTGCACCAATCCATCTGTCAATCTCATGCTCCATTTTTCCCTCACTCGTGAACAAAACCCCAAGATCAGCGGTGCCCAATATGTCAGTCGCAATCTACCGGTCGATCATGAAGGCAATTTCAGTAGCTCGCATGGCGAAATAGACATCAGACTTTAAAAAATATATATTTTAATTATTCTTTTAAATATACAGTACGTCACTCGATCAATCCATCTTCACTATGCAGTTTGCCACTTGATTGACATACAGGTTAGCCTATCTGAGACTGACCTTTTCTGATACATAGGTCACCATGCATGCACAAACATCGGCATCCATGATTGACATACAGGGCAGCCAATCAGAGACCAGATCTTTTCTGACGCTTCGGTCACTACACATGCGCATTCAACCGCGCTAAAAACAAACGAGTTGACTCGTAATAGCCTCCAGTTTATTTCTTCTAAACTAAACTCAAGAAAGTGTGTAAAATGAGTTGGGGAGCTGGACCAAGGAAGAAGCAAAAAACCTACCATTTCCATACGGAATGAGGGGGAGGACTTGTTTTTTTCACAATGTCATATTCAAAGTGCGTTTCACCGGAGCAGCATTTTCAGACTATATTCATAAATACTACGGCACCGACTTCCTCCTGAAAAGCGAGCTGAGAAAGAAAACGGTGACCTAAAATCCCAGTTTTGTAATGAACGTTTTTTTGACTAAAATCCCAGTTATATGGACAGCAGTCATTTTTCTTACAGCTGACGACAGCAGCGAAACATCAGTCCGGGTGAGTCACTTTAATAATTGTTAAGCACAAGAAGTCTCTTCAAGACAGAGAGACATTATTCGTTGAACCAACTGACTCGTTGTTCAGAGACTTTATAAACAAACCAGAAATATTTTCTTCTATCAAAGCTCTCAGGTATCAAGAAATATGGTTACTGTTAAAAGCAGCTGCTGTCAGGGCTACATTTTCACGTTTGTTCTCAAGTTCTCAGGTTATTTTTCAAACATGAAGCTATTCTTCTTGTTTCCTGTTCCTTTGTGTGAAGAACAGAAGCTATTGCTGTGTTTTGTTCATTCATTCAACTTTTACTTATTCAGGTTAGTCTCACTGAGTCACAAGGACTCATTTACAAGAGAGACCAGTTTTAGACAGACAGCATATAAAATACATACAACAATAAAATACAGTAAAATGCAATTAAAATAAAAGTAATGTTATAAAACAATAAATCAAAATGCCATATAAAATGTGGTAAAAGACTAAAAACAAGAACGTAAAAC